GTACTGGCAACATCAGCTCTTCTCCAGGTTACGACAACATCAAGACTCTCATTTAGTGTTAGTGGAAATTGACAATTGTACATCCATGTTGTAAGACAGCTCAGAGGTTTGCCATCAAACTCACCATATCCTTAATGGATGACCCAGAAGCCACGTTCTGTTGTACTTACTCAAACTTAAAAGTATGTTACAGAAAAACCTGCACACAAATCATTATAGAAACATTATTCATAGTTGCCAAAACTTGGAAACAGCTGAGACATTCTCTGTAGGAAAATGGATAAACTTTGATAAACTTAGACAACAGAGTACTGTCCATACTTTAAAAAGAAACTATCTAGCTGTGTTATCAAAATAAATGAAAGTGCTTCAAATTTTTTTTACACTTAAAACATTAAAAGTTTTGAATAGAAAATCATATACTTATTGTATAAGTATACTAAGTGCAAATGTTTTGATTTGTTTGCATTTTAGCACGTGCTGGCAATGAATTTCTCTCTAATGCAAGCAAATTATGCAGTAACTCTGAATGCAACATTCTCAGTGATAATAAGACACTGTTTCAAAAGAAGAAAATAGGAAGGAAGGGATGAAGAGAGGAAGGGAGGAAGGGAGGAAAGGAGGAAGGCAGAGAGGGAGGGAGGAAGTCAGGGAGGAAAAGCAGTTTGGAGGGAAGGAAAAGAGGGAGCATAGAGCTGTGGCCCTAAGCCTTGCTTCGTAGTTGAAGTTATTGATAACTACCTCCTAATACACACTTCATCATTTATTTTTTGTACCTGGGACTGACAAAACATACTTAAAACACCTTGAAATGTACTCATTCACTCATCAGATGCTACCACAACTACTTTTCCTTGTAAATTTTTTTGTTCTTAGAAATTTTGTTCCCATTAATATGGGAAGCTTTGAAGGCTTGTTTTTTTCTTTTTGTAGTCTCTGATTTCATCCATTTCCTCTTATGTGTTACTCTACGTGGTTTTCAAAGGCACAAAGACATTTCCTAAAGTACATGGCTGGCCACACATATTCTCATTCATTTATTCAGTCACTATATAAATACTTACTGAACTTTATTACGCATTAGCTGCAATGCTAATTCTTTTTTTTTTTTTTTTTCAATTGTGTACTTGGTAAAGGGTCTCACTGTGCAGATCAGACTTATAGTGATCCTCCTGTCTTCAGCCTCTGCAGCACTGGTATTACCGGCATGTACCACCATGCCTGCACTCCACCACTGGCTCAGCATGCCCAGGAGTGAGGCCGGCGCAAAACGCAGGACATGGGATTGAAGCCTGGTCTCTGAGCTTGCCAGAGCAGGTGCTTTGTCTGTTGAACTGTCTTGCCGGCCCTGCAGTGTCAATTCTTACTATGAAATAAAGACATATGAGATACAGACACTTGATTTAGTGAAACATTGAAAACTTGTGAATATCTAGTGTATGCTAAGCCTGTTTTAATATTTTTTATTTTAGTGTAATGTAAGTAGATAAGAATAAAGAAAAAATTAAAATATCTTACCTTTTTTTTTTTTTGCTGAACCAAGGATTGAACTCAGGCCCTTGAGCTTGCCAGGCAAGCACTTATTCTACTGAGACATCTCCCTGGCCCTCTTCTTTAAAAACAAATTTTATAACAAAATAGAAAATAATAGTTAATATATTTTAAAATCTTTTAATTTTTTATTTATTTATTTATTTATTTATTTATTTACTTATTTACTTATTTACTTATTTATTTATTTATTTAGTACAGGGTCTAAGTACAGAATCATATGTGGTACCAGGGATCGAACCCCACACCTTGTGCTTGCCAGGCAGGCATTTAGACCACTGAGCTATCTCCCCAGCCCAATAATAGTTAGTATATGATATCTTATAATCTTAATTATAATCTTAAAAGAATGACCAAGGGCCGACCAGATAGCTCAGTGTATTAAAGCACCTGCTTAGGCAGATGCAGAGGCCAGGGTTTGGTCCCTGGTGTGCCATGCCAGCCCTACACTGAGACAGCAATTGAGACTGGACGTGGTGGCATGCACCTGTGATCTCAGAGCTTGGGAGGCTGTAAACAGGAGGATGACTATGAGTCCAATTTATGCAGAGAGATCCTGTAGACTCTGTACTAAATACAAAAATAAAAATATTGGCAAAAATATTTCACAGTGCAGTTCATAAACAGCATCAAAAAAGAAGTGAAAAAGAAAAAGCAAAATTTAAAAAGAAATATTCTGTTTTAAAAATATTTGCATGCTATAAGGAAACATCAAAACCAAATAAGAAGAGAATGATAAGTTATCACACTGTGCATAGTTATCTTCAAAGTAGTTAATCAAAGTACAAGGCACAATGTACTAAAGCACATACAATGTGGGAAGGGACTGGGAGACGGGGACACATCAGTTCAGGAATTCTGCTGTCCCAGTGATGTGGAGAGACATGAGTCATGGCAGGCCAGATCTGCAGGTGTCTGGATAGAGAAAAATGTGTCACTTGGTCGCTGCACACCCTTTGTAGTACAGCACTCTGTGGTTCAGTTGCTCCTCTCAGTTTCAGAGGCATTCTAGGGATTGCTTCAGCCTTGACACCACATCCCTTGTTACATAGAGTAAAATGTCTGGAGCAAATGTATACCTATGGTGTCGCCAAATTTCACCAAAATCTGTGGCTACTACTCCATTTGCCATGGGTGCTGGTGCACTGAACAAAGTCCTGTGGTTAGAACATACTCCTGGCACATTTCTTAAGTCAGTGCCCCATTCTAAGCTGTTCTTCAGGACACAGCCTGCATACTGCCCTTATTCATTTGATGAGAGGTATGGGAAATGACATGCTGTGGTTGAGACCCACAACTGCCCAACCCCTGCCTCCAGTATATCTAGCATATTCCTACCTCAGAATACTCCAAGAGAAGTGTTTCTGAGTCCTCAGCTAGGAAAAACAATGCCTTTTTTCCCTCTATTTTTGTTCTTTTTTCTGATTTTTATTTTAGTTTTTTAAATTTTTCCTTCTTATTGCCTCCCCCATCCTCTTTCTCCTGATGCTAAAGACTGAACCCAGACCCCCACACATTGGGCATGTGTTTTCCCTTTCAGCCATGTTCACAGTTCAGACAAAAGTAACTAAGTCCAGCACTAGCCATAACTCAGTCATATTCTAACCTGGGCAAATATCTCTCCTCCTGTTGACCATTCCTCCTGGGATGTTAGGTCCTACACCTGAGCTGACAGCCCCATGAGAACAGCAGAGAGAAACACAGTGGCTGAGGACATCCCATCTACATAAACCCTGCCTTTGCCTCTTAACTACTACATTTTGGAAATTGTTTTGCATAGTGGGAGTCAGCAAGTCTGGAAACTTGTTCTACAAAAGAGTGGCTAGGTACCTTATTTCAGCCTTGGGAAATTCCTCAGGCCTGTTCTAGTGAGAGGAAGTCAATGACTAACAAAATAAAAAATACTTATGGAGAAAAATGAAGTGCTTATCGTTGTAGAGATGAAATGGGTAAAATCACTTATCTAAATTTATACCACACAAACTTGAAAAAGGGTAAATTAATCCCACAATAAATAAGTAGAAGCAAATAAAAATAAAAGAAACCAATGAAATAGAAAAATGGACAGACAATTAGAGGAAGACACCATCAATTTGTCTGTATTTTAGGCACAAGATTTAATTTCAAATTGATTGGTGTTTTTCCACATTTTTTTTATTTTAAAGAGTTAGTTTTAATATTTAACCAGAATCATAATAATCACATAATAAAAATCAGAAGGCTAAGGAAATAAAATGATAATCTTGGGGACATAAAATTCAGAAAGTGGATGACCCTAGGATAGATTAGGAGAGGACCACGAATGGTACAGAGGCAGGAACTCATACCCTGAGATGACGGCTTTACAGGGAGTCTCCTTTGGTTGGTGGTTAGAAATGCATATATAACTGTCAATTCCATTGAATTAAATTGGTATTTTAATATATAGGAATTAAACATTTTTAAATAAGAGAAAGACAGTATCTTGAGAAGCTCATGGCAGTAGTATTTGGGTACCTGAGTCATAGGCTACAGAAGAATCCACAGCGTTTTCAGTTCATAAATTTACTGAAAGTAGTTCTGCAGTTCAAATGTTTAGTGAGTGCAAACATCCAAGTTTGGAGCACTGTGGCCCTGCCTATAGCCCCTCCGCACCTTTGGATACGGACCATTCATCTAGGTAGTTATCACCACACTGCTTCCTTTCAGTGATATTTTTCTCTAGGAATCCAGAGCTTTTGGGGGTAAGACAAAGTGGAAGTCATAGCTCAAGTGGGAGAGAAAGTCACAGTGCATAGAATGTACTAATTAGAGCTGTCACAATTGCAAGAACTTCAGCAAATTCTGCAAGGGGGCAGCAACATCTCAATTAACAATCTGAGAAAGAAGCCAGTGGGCTAAAGTGAGTGTTCCCTCCCTGCACAAGACTAAAATTTACATCATACTTGGATATTTCTCCCCACCTAGGACTCTGAATTCTAGACAGCTTACACAAAGTATAGGAATGAGTGTGTTGGTGGGAGCAAAGCCAAGAGTTTATCGCAACTGACCTTGAAGCTGGCATTGCTCTCCTGGGTCAAGGGGGAGAAAGATGCAAATTAGTCATTATTGTGCGGGGAGGAGGGATCCTGGAGAACAAGTGAGCAATGAGGATGTAGGAAAATTCCTAGGAGTGGTTGAAGCAGAGGTGGAAGAAATACATAAAGCGCCAGTCCTGCCTCTGGAGACTGAGGGGACCAGCATCAAGTTGCCCTCATTGGCTGTTTTAGAGTGAAAAGGTGGGTTAAAACTTCTCATTTGTTTCAGGGATTCCTGGTGGGGAGGACATGAAATTTTGAAAAGCTGGAACACAGTGATTCCATGAGGCTTCTGTGCACTTGTACTTCCAGGATTTCTCTCTTTAGCTCTCTCTCCAGGGTCTCCCCATCACCACACCTGCTTCCCAGTGTGTCCTGCTTCCTGCACTGACCATGACAAGGTGGAGCTGCCTGGTGTCAGGAGGGGGAGGCTTCCTGGGCAAGAACATCATCCACATGTTGGTGCAGGAGAAGGAGCTGCAGGAGGTCAGGGTTCTGGACAAGGTGCTCACAGCAGAAACCAAGGAGACATTCTCTAGTAAGTGAGCTCTGGGATGGAGTGTGGTGATCCACTGTGAAGCCTGAGTGGGTAAGAGAAGGGGATGCTTCTGAAGGGAGCCATGAGGTTCTCGTGTGTCCACATTTACTGGGAGGAATCATGGAGAAGTGAGCATAACAGAGACCTCAGAGCTGCCTGGGACTGGACTCTGGCCAGCTCAGTGCTAGACAAGGTGGACACAGACAGCCATGGGCCAGGAAATCTCTGTCCACCCCTTCTAAAATCACACATCAGTTCTCTCCCTCCTTCGAAGCTCACCAATGTTCTGAAGTTGGTAATTACTGCGCAAGATAAGCACTGTTAAGCTGGAGGGTGCAGCAGCAGAGCTTTGCCTCTTTTGATTGCCCTGAGCCTTCTTCTTGTCTTTTGTTTTGCTTCCTAAGGACTCACTTAGTGTCTTCTGTGAAGGAGACAAAAAGCAATCTAAGGAAAAGCTGACTCTGTGTATATGTGGAGGGTATGTGTGATTATGTGTGAATGTGTGTATTGTGTGTGTAAATGTGTGTATGTATATGTTGTATGAAACAGAGAGAGGGAGAAAGAAAGAAGGAAGAGAAAAGGAGGAAGGGAAAGGACCAAGGAGAAGGAAGGAAGAAAGGATGGAAGGAAAGAAGGGAGGGAGAGAGAGAAAAAAACAGGGAATCAAACAGAATGACATGGAGACAGAGAAACTGAATAAGAGTGGGCACAAGGGGCCAGGGAGATGGCTCAGTAGAATAAGTGCTTCCCTGGCAAGCTCAAGGACCTGAATTTAATCCCCAGTTCTGAAAAAAAAGAAAAGAAAAGAAAAGAAAAAAAGAGTGGACACAAGTAGACAGCCTGAGCCAGAGTCAAAGTGAGTGGCACAAGAGACAGGGACATTCTTCCCACACTGGTTCCTCGTAGGCTGCTCCCAGAATTTCTCTGTTTTTCATCCTCACAGAGAAAGCCACTACCAATATACTGGTGAAGCCCATTACTGTTTTTTTTGTTTTTTTTGTTTTGTTTTGTTTTTTAATTACTAGTCCTCTGACAGCAATGCAGAATGTGGAACCCCTGGGGGGATATTGAACTTTCTCAGCTGTCTTTGCCCCTGTATTTCAAAGTAACTGTGATAAAGTGGGAAGGGATCACCCACCAGCACAATGAGGACTTTGAGGAGCAGAGGAAAAAAAAAAAGTGACTGGTCTGAAGTCACCTGCTCAGTAGAAGCAGAAAACAGACTAGAACTCCATCCCAGGGCCACATTCCCTGGCTGAGGGGCTGACTCCTGACACTATCAGACACCAGTCTCTCCCCTAGTTGCCCTGAGTGTTCCAGATCCATTGTCTGCCACTCACTCTCTCTGCTTGGGAGCCCTGGGTGATGCCCAGATCACCCTGCTACGGACACAGAGGAGCCCTAAGGGAATTGCACGATCACACTCACTTCTCTCCTCTTTTTTCTTTCTCTGACTTATTCCACTGTTCAGTGTTCTCCTCTAATTACTTCAATGCTTTCCCCCCCAACACCCTCCCTGTACATAAATATTAACACACAATGGGAACTGTTGGTAAAGTTTTTCTCAAAGCAATATTTAGGGTATAACAGTTGATGGAAGGAAAATGAAAGGCTCAGGCTTGGGGAATTAGTGACAATCCAGGGGGCTTCAGGGACAAGCAGATACCTGCAGAGAAGTAAGAGTGGGGGATCCCAAACAGTGTTCTCTCCCTCTGTGTGAAGCTCTGCAGCTTGTTTGCAGGGTTAACACATTATGTCCTCAAGATGTCTATATGAGATAGGAAATATGGATATAGTCATTTTTACAGGTGAGAAGACAGGCTCAGAGAGGTTAACTAATATGATGAAAGTGTACAGAGAAGCCCAGCAGTTGAATTCTAAGAGGGCTAGTTGCAACTTCTGTGCAACTAGGCCTCAGAATTATTTTATTGAACAGCTTCTTCTGGACTTCTCTTGAATGGTCTCATATCACAAAGGCAAATATATATTTGGTGTATAAGTTAAAACACTGGCCCAGTGCACTCAGCCTGGAAAAGGAGAGAGCTGGGATTCTTCCATGAGCACCCATTGTGCCCTCCATGAGCTACAAAGGTCCTTGGGAGTTCATGAGGCAATGCCCCTTTCTCTGGATCTGAAAACCTCCTGCCTCTCACTGCCATTCCTAAGAACCAGACTTTCAAAAGTCAACAGCAGATGAGACGCAGAGAAAGGGAGCAGGGTACAGAAGAGGGACGTGATCAGGGAAGCCTCTAATCTAGGTTGGAGCCCACCTGCCTCCCACAGCCCTTCCTCCCTGTCCTTCATGTCCCGCCTTCTTGGGGTTACCTTACAGAGGCAGGTGTGGGGTTGACACCTCACTACCAGTGTATACACAGCTTGATCCCAGGAGTTTTCCAGGCCTCTATTTCCTCAGGTAAGCAGGAGAAATCAAAATCATAACTCTTCATTGAGGTCTTTAGGGAGAACTTGTTCATTAGTTTGTCAATTACATAGCACAAACAAATGCAGAGTTGGTGGAGGCTGCATGTGGCATTGTGAGTGTTTTGTGGGTTCAACTCCTTTGGCTGTGTCACCCCAGAGTTCTTCTATCCTGCATGGGTTCTCACCTGAAGTGAGCCCCTTCTTGGTTTAGCTGCTGCCCTGCACTAGGAAGCTGGGATGGAGACCATTCGCAGCTGGCTTTTTCCCAACACTGATGTCTGCCACTGATAATATCCAATACATAGGGAGACATTCTTAGGAGTTTCAGGAGAAGAGCCCATCCTGGATTCCATTAGTGGTTCACCCACCTCCTTTTACTCACAGAAGCAAGAAACATGAGGGTTGGGTTGAACTGAATTTTTGCTTAGTCTGAGCCCAAGACCTGGCATGGGAAAGCCTGAAACATACCACATGTGGGTTTCCAATTCTCTGCTGCTACTGCTGGAACCAGGTTTGTCTTCATTGGATTTCTGGTGAGAATTCTGATTAGTGCATTGCTTCGTTGCTTTCTCTTCTATCCTCATGACAGTGCATTGGACATCCTGGAGCCAAAGGGAGGATTCTATTCACAGCCCTGCCTATCTCTCTTGAAATTCCTATTGCCTGCACAGCTGAACTCTAACTTTGCCTCTGTATCAACTATACGCAACTTCTGGACTCTCCTTAATGAGTCTGATGAAGCTTCCCACAACTCATTAACAATTTCTTTCCAATTTTTTGATATTCCACATACACCTCAGAGCTTACTGCTCAGATTCATGGTCTCCATCACAATGGGGTACAAACAGCTATTTGTTCTTCCCAGTAAATGCTATACACTATGAATTCTGTGTCTTTATTACCTTGTTTCCTCCATGGAATGTTACCCACCCTAGACATCTCCCTGCTGTGATTATCTTTGAATATCTATACATGGACTGTCACCTTATCAGGAAATTTCCAAGCCAACCCCAAAGCTGTCTGATGACCTGTTTTGTGCTTCCAGAGCTGAACACCAAGACCAAAGTGACAATGCTTGAAGGAGACATTTTGGATCTTCAGTGCTTGAGGAGAGCCTGCCAGGGCATCTCGGTTGTCATCCATGTTGCTTCTATCATTGATGTAAAGGGAGCCATTCCTCCACAGACCATCATAGATGTCAACTTGAAAGGTAGAGCAGCCTGTAGGTGATGTGCAGCAGCTGTGACAGGGGAGTGGGAAGAGGAACCCCACTGTGGATCACCTGCTGGGCTCTTGACCAAGAGCCTTGGCTCACCACTCTCAGCTAACAGAGCTCAGAGACAGTGTTTTATAGTATGAGGAAACCAGGGCTCAGAAGGCACAACAGTTAGCCAAGACCCACTGCTAGTCAAGGAGGAAAGCAAGGATTTAAATGCACTCACGTTTGACTCCAAATCCATGAATATTCTTCCTTCAGTTACTGCATTACAGGGTCAACTCTCCTCTGACTCTGCACTCTTGATGTCTATGCAACTCACTGCCTCCCCTGTGTGAATCCAGGCCATCCTGATTCCTCCTCACCCATTCTGAACTTGCATGCAGGCTGATGAGAACATGTAGAGCCTCCTGACTCTGAGAGATGGCTTCCTCTCCAGAGAACTAGTGCTGCTAGTTCACAGGAATCTGTTAGAACAGAATGGTCTGCAATGGGCCTTTGCACCATATTTTCTAAGCAAGAATTATTTCCAATTATCCATAATATTTGAGTCTTCAGCACACTACTAAATCTACAACAGGAGTATTTTCTGATCATGTGCCTAAAAAATGCTCCTTACATTCTCATCTCTAAATGCTTGGTGGTGGCTTCCATGTAGCACCTTTCCAACTGGCTTTCAATTGAAGCACTTTTAGCTCAAGGAAGCTTGCCATGTCTCCCATCACAGTGCTCTGACCCTGCTCCATGGGTCAAGAGTGCCATGACTCCAAATGCAAAGCCCCCCATGCCAAGCAAACTATTGTTTATTTTCAAAAATTGTTTTTAAAAAGACATTTTCTAGTATGTACTGTGCCACACCCCTCTCTATCCACATTACAAATGGCTGGTATAAATAAGCAGGTTTTCATTTTGGGTTCTTGTCTCATGAGGCTTGCCTTCTGCATCTTTTAACAACAACAGGATGAGAGAGGAAAGCGAAACAGTTGCAAGTATTTGTTTAGTGAAATATTTTCACAATAAGTACATACTTGTGAAGATAGTTACTGCCTGTTTTAGGTTAAAATAAACTCACATAATTTTGTACTATATGTTTCATTTTTAAAGAATATGTTGACCATCAAAAAAATCAAATATATATATGGGTTACTCTTGCTTAGAGTTACATGATGTTACAGTACAGGTTCTCCTATGTCCTGAGTCTTCACTGACAATGAAAGAGTAGGGCCAAAATGTTGGTCGTCCTTGCAGCCCTTCCTTTTCTCTAATTTTTGGTCCACAAACTTAGGTTGTTAACCCTCCAGAAGAGAAGCTTATCATTATTACCCTACATCATAGGCAGTTGAGCTTAACCTCACTATCTGTCTGAATATCAGACATCTTAGACGTAACATGAAACAGGTATTTTCCATCAAGTACTGATATGTTAAACTTTGAGTCCCTACAGAATATGAAGGAAAAAATTAAAATTAAAAATTTTTTAAAAATAGGAATAAACAATTACATATTTTTACACAGAAATTTAGCAATCTAACCATATACAGCACTGCAGCAGGACAGTCTTGTGACATTATATTTTGTCTCTTTTTTAAATTTATTATCCTTCCTTTTAAACAAACATTTACTTGAGAGACAGTAATGGCAGTAATTGGTATGTCATGACAAGCAGTGCATATTTACAAGGCCAAAATGACAGGCATTCCAAGCATGACCCTACTATTACACATTGCTGTCTTCACTGCAGTTGCTGAGTTCACAGGTATCAGCATATATAGTTAGTCAGGTTGAGAATCCTACCAATTAACTGCTTAGTTCACAGATATCAGTATATATAGTTAGTCAGGGTGAGAATCATTCCAATTAACTCCTAGATTAAAGAATCTTCTGAATATTCTCCGGATCATTGCCTTGCTCAACTTTTACATATAACTGCATGGCTTAACATTGTCATGTTTCCTAGCTCATCCCATTTCCCTCTCTTGATTAGTTAGTCCTTGAGATCCTGCTTTCCTTTTCCTTGTATTATATCTTTCTATTTGTATTTCTTCTTTGGAGTTCTTATACTAGGGAGACTATACGATATTTACACATGTGTGTGTGGTTTATCTCACTTATGAGTATATGTTCAAGTGGCATCCACTTCAATATAAAGGCTTGCAATAACTGCTAGTTTTAAAAACCTGCTGAAGATTCTCAGGATCATTGCCTTGCCCATCTTGTGCATATAAATGTATGGCTTTGACCCTGTCATGTTTCCTAGCTTTTCTCCTTGCCCTCACTTCATTGTCTAATCCTCAAGTTCTCACTTTTCTTTTTAATTGTGTTATACCTTTCTATTTTTATTTCTTCTTCTGAGTTCTTATACTAGGGAGACTATATGATATTTACACGTGTGGGTCTGGTTTATTTCACTTATGAGTATATCTTCAAGTGGCATCCACTTAAATATAATGGCTTTGAGTTTGTCATTCTTTATAGCTGAGTAATACTCCATTGTATAGAAATACAGCATCTTTTTCTTCCATTCCTCAGGTGATAGGCATCTTGGTTGTTTCCATGATTTATCTATCTATCTATCTATCTATCTATCTATCTATCTATCTATCTATCTATCTCTATATGTCTACCTATCTCTATCTATCTATCTATCTATCTATCTATCTATCTATCTATATTATTTTTAATTGGTGTGGTGGGAAAAGGTAATAAAGAAAAAAGGAACAAAGGAAGGAGGAGAGAGAGAGAGAGAGAGAGAGAGAGAGAGAGAGAGAGAGAGAGAGAACTCATCGTTCCTTCCCATCCCTTCTTCAAGTGAAGTTGAATGCCTTCCACTACAGCTGTTGTCACTGCTGGAGACATTCTAGAATTTCAGGCCATTGTAAAATTTCCACTACAGGATGCACTCCACCGGAAGGTATAGAGAAAAACTCTGAAACAAGATCCTAGAATGCCAAATGATGGGAATTGTCATCACTGCTACTCATAGTCTGGGTAAACGAAGTGATGGAAAAATGAAAGGTGACCATTAAGGGGAACACAATCTGGATCAGAAGCTGGGGCTTTGTATGATCCCTCCCAGTCTGTAACCATTAGCTCAGACACAGATTGTTCTTGGAAATAAGTTATTAGTTTTCAGACAAAACAAGAAAAATAGGCAACTATCATAATACCAATTTATAGTTGTATATTGCTCCTAAACAATGAAAATATGTGATGTGAATTCTAAATTGTCCTCCTGAATTTAATAGTTTAAAATGACCTCTGTTATTTTTTATAATATCTTTCTTTTATTTTGAAGAGTAAAAACAAAAGCAAGAAAAAAACAAAAGCAAAGACAGAAACAGGGTAACATATAACAATACATATGTTACAGTTTTTCAAAACAAGAATAGCTGATTAGCAATGGCTGATATATTATCTATTTTTAATCATCAAATCTGTTGCTCAGATAAACAGATATAGTTATACAAGATAGGTCATGTGATTGAATATTACCACATACTTTTAAGAAGTCTTAAATTTTTGTTCTTGTCTCATTTTCTTTTGTTACTTTCTTTAGAAAAAGCGCTCTAAAGAGTATAGCAATAATTAATATGATATGAAATAATGAAATTCTGTGAATGAAAAATGTTTACCAGTTTTGGTTTTCATTTTTGGCTATTCATTTTCTTATTTATTTATTTATTTATTTATTTATTTATTTATTTTGGTGGTGCTGGAGATTGAACTGAGGACCTTGTACTTGCCTGGCAAGCACTTATTCTACTGAGCTATCTCCCCAGCCCCGTGGCTACTCATTTTCTCTATAGGGTGGGGACATGCTGCCACTGAATAGTAACTTAAGGCACATGGTAATTACACACATGTGTGTTAGTAAAATACAAGAAGCATGCCTACATCTTTTAGAAAAGTCAAAATACACACACACACACACACACACACACACACACACACACACACACACACATGAAAACAAAGGGAAAAAATTTTAGAAATTATTATTATTATTTTTTTCCAGAACTGGGGATTGAACTTAGGCCTTTGCACTTGCCAGGGAAGTGCTTATCCTACGGAGCCATCTCCCCAGGCCCCTTAGAAATTATTTTTTTACCACAACACAAATATTAGCTCATTTATATTTATTTTTTATTCTGACTGTACCCCAGCAGATATGTGAAAAACACCTCAGGGGGAGGTGTGGATATGAATGTAAGTCTGACCCTGAGGGGCTCCATGGGTCATTTTCTGATACTGACCGTGTGCTACTTCAGGTACCTGCAAAATGTTGGAGGCCTGCCTGCAAGCCAATGTGCCAGTGTTCATCTACACCAGCACCATTGAGGTTGCTGGGCCCAACTCCTACAAGGAGATCATCCAGGATGCCCGTGAGGACCAGCATCACGAAAGCACGTGGTCTGCTCCATACCCATACAGCAAGAAGCTGGCTGAGAAGGCTGTGCTGAAAGCTAATGGCTCCATGCTGAGAAATGGTGGCACCCTGTACACGTGTGCCTTGAGACCTTCCTACATCTATGGAGAAGGAAGCCCATTCTTGTCTTCTGTGTTCAATATGGCTCTCAAAAACAATGGCATGCTGCTAAGTACTGCCAAGTTCTCTCTTGCCAACCCAGTCTATGTGGGCAATGTGGCCTGGGCCCACATTCTGGCCTCCAGGGCCCTGAGAGACCCCAACAAAGCCCCAAACGTCCAAGGTCAGTTCTATTACATCTCAGATGATTCCCCACACCAAAGTTATGATGATCTTAATTATAATATGAGCAAAGAATGGGGCTTCCGCCTTGATTCCAGCCTGAGCATCCCTTTGTCTCTGCTGTACTGGCTTGCTTTCCTGATGGAAATGCTGAGCTTCCTGCTGAGACCAGTTTACAACTATCAACCCCCCTTTAATCGTTTTCTACTGACAATCTCACAAAGCGTGTTCACAGTCAGCTATAAGAAAGCTCAGCGAGACCTAGGGTATGAGCCACTTTTCAGCTGGGAGGAAGCCAAGCAAAAAACTGCACAGTGGGTTGGTTCATTAGTGCAGCAGCACAGGGGGACTTTGAAGAGCAAGACTCAGTGATGTGGGCCATGACAGGAATGGGGATCTGAGTAATGCCTGAAGCTACCTATCTACTTCCTCCTTCTGGCTTCTTCCTGAACAAGACAATGGTACATGCCCATGTCCCACAACCTCCTTCTGACACAATAGCAACTCTCCATCCTCCTGCCACCAGATGCCTGTTGGTTTCATTTCTCCATTATATCATGAAGTGCTTCTTTTCTTTGACAAACTTACACTTCCTCGAAAAGCACAATGACAAATAAAACATAACTTTGAAGCCTAACCTAAAGTCAGTGTGTTCTTTGTCACCTATAAAAAAGCTCAACAAGATTTAGAGCTTTCCTCCTTTCCTTTCCTTTCTAGTTATATTCATGTGCCATCAGAAGGAGCATGGCGCTGCTGTGACAAGTGTGATGGCATGTGTAGGGGAGCACTGGAGGTGGCCTCTGACCTACTAGGAATCACGCATATGCTAGATGCCTTACATTACCTCCTCTTAGGCTTACCTTACTATGGTGAGGCAGGATACCTATGCCCATGGCATAAATGAGAAAACATGCTCACAGGATCACTGTTGTTGACCCTAGGTCTCTATAGAAACTGACTAAAATCTCTCACCCTCTACTGAATATTTCAGGCTTCCAGAGAGGCAACAGAATGTCAAATGTTTCTTCCTGAGACATGCCTTCCAGACTAATCAACTGTAGAGTGCATTCTTCACGGCTGGTCTCTTCAAGAAGCTCCAAAACCAGGAGAGTCCTTGGGGAAATCCTGAGATGGGGTTGGAGGTACAGGGGCTGCATGACTGAACATGGGGTTGGGAGTTATGGGAGAACCAGAAAAGCTTCCAGCCTCCATCTGCAATGTTGGAGTACTCATTGGTTCTGACATACACCTGTATATGTGACTGGGGACATTTGTGGCCATTTGTAACTTCTCATTTTACTCTTTGTTGTCATGCATTAAGTGCAACATAGATTCATGGGATAGGATGGAAAGCAGTCTCAACTGGATTCCAAATGTATCTCCTAATATGCCTGAAGTGTGTAACTCTACTCTGCCCGCTTCAAACATTAATTTTCTCTCCCTCCCTTGTCTTCCCATTTGCCTTGCATCGTGTCTTTTCTTCTTTTCTTCTTCCATCTCTTTGGATTCCTTGTATTTCTTTTATTTATTTATTTATTTACTTACTTAATTATTGTATTTTAGGGAAGGGTCTACACAGGGTCTAACTACTAGATCAGACTTATAGTGATCCACCTATTTACTGCCTCCCAAGAGCTAGGATTACAGGAGCACATCACTATACCCAGTCTCAATTGCCATCTCAGTGTGCCCTGGGGATGGGGCTGGCACTGCAGGCCCATGGATCCAAACCCTGGTCCCTGTGCCTGCTTGCAGGTGCTTTATTTTTTTTATTTTTTTTTTTTTTTTCCTACAGTTTTATTGATAAACATATAGCAATGAGACAGTTTCAAATCAAATCGGAAGTACAGTTTCAACAAATAATACACTGCATATATTATTCTTA